GCAGACTCACCAGGACTATTAATTGTTTTGTCTGCCTATATTTTGAAGGGACAGCACCTCTATCTCTAAGCTCTTTTCATCTAAACTCTCCACTATTACATGGGCATCTTTAAGTCCTCCTGTAAAATGGCAGTTTCTGGGGTCTTCTATTAACACTTTTTTTATTCCCAAATTTCTGAGATCTCTTCAGCAAGAACTCCATTGCAAAGTTAGAGACTCTTGCAAAGAGACTAGCTTTGAAAACCACTTGAAGAGACAAGTGACATATTTAATAGGCTCTAAAGCATGTTCCTTCATGCAGCACCAACAGGGCCAGGGAGAACAGGGCTGACATGTTTGTAAGTGGTCAATGAAAGAGGAGGAGACAAAAGGGATTCTGTGATTTCTAGCCAGTGCCCTCCTGTCCCTGTTGCAAGTGACCACTGTACCCTGCTTAATTAACTTAAGACAACACCGAAGTACTGCTGCCAGCCAGCAGGAGTGCTGGTTGTCTGGGCCTCTTTCTGAAGGGAGATTTGGGGTGGTGAAATACAGGCAGACCTTCTTGTGAGCTGTCAGCTTTCACTGACTGACCATGGACTGAATGGGGAGTTACTGATTGGATGTCTCTCTAAGAGACACAAAGCCAAGGCTCTTCCCAAATTCATATGCCACACGCAAACCCTCCAAACAGCTCAGCCCCTAAACCTTAGGCTAGAGAAATTCTCTTCTGATCAGTGCAGACACAGAGCTCAGGCTGAAAACCCTGGGAGCCAACAGTATTATTCACTCTCTGCCTTTCCCACTAGGTCTCTTAAAATAGTCATTTCCCCCCTTAGCATTTATATCGCTCAGAGTCATGCCCTGTCTGGAGCAAATGCTAAAAAAAAAAAAAAAAAACCACACACCACACACACAGCATAGCTTTAAAACATAACTTTTGCTTTTAAAAACCAGGAACCAAAACCAGATTTTTGTGAAACATTCAAAAAACCTGAAAAAAGGCAAATGTTAAAGGAGCAAGTAGTTGCCATTCTAGTAGTTGCTTCAGAATCACAAATGAAGTTTTTACAACAAACAAAGCAGAGTTGATAGAAATGGGGAAGATGCATATGCTTCTAAGAGTGGTCTCAAAACAAAAACTTTAATTCATGCACTGAGATGCACCTTCCTACATGTTGCACCATATTTCAGTTTACAAGTAAACTACAAATCAAGGCTAAAGGGCCCACCCATTAAAAGTGAGCAGAGTTCTCCAAGATAGTTGATCAAATCTCACAAAGCTCCTTTTCACACGATTTAAATAGTAAAAACATCTGAAATGAGGAATGGGATGGAATATACCAAGCAGCACACTCACAGTGAAATCCTTAATACTTCAATACTTACTGCGAAAAGGGAGCAGTGAGGACATAGATCAGTTACCAAAGCTTTAGGATGTAGAAGATCCAACTCAAAGCCCTTTGACACAAAAATGCAAGTAGCATGCACACAAAGCACAGGTAACAGCTCCTCCCACTTGTCACTCCCCCATTCAAACATTGTACATATTCAGACAGACCTTCCAGGTGTAAGCTTACACAGCACTTACTAAAATGGTGCTCAGATCCTTACATTGCACAACTAAGTTATCATGTATGCCAATCTCTTAAAAGATGGACACAAAAGTTGCAATTTGTTTATATGATCCATTCCACTGATTTTGAAGCTCAGTATGCTTGCAGAAGCAGGGTACCTTCTGTTATTTTGTGCCTTGCTGAAAAGCAAAATTGGCAAAATACGTATCAGGATAATGACAAATGCCCTCTTTCTCCATCAACTGGGGAAACAAAAGGCTTAGAACAGCTATTTGTGGTTGTTTAAATACTTTTAATCTACACATGCTGTATCTACACATTCATACAGACTGAAAAATACATTTAAAACATATATCAAGCAACCTGTTCTGTTTTGCTCCCCATTCTTATTAAATATCCCAAGATTCCTGTATGCAAATTTATGAAAATACGCAGCATCCTATGTAGCCTTTACACTTGCCATTTTTAAGTAGTGTTATTTAAATAATTTATACTCCTTTTATTATAATTGTGAGCAATAACCTCCAAAGTGTTGTTCTGATATAATGAAAAAAGGAACATTAAAAAGATCTAATCAATAAGTAGCTTTTAAAAGCCAGAAGAAAATAAGTTAAAATTTCTTTATTACAGAACAAATAAAGTGCATTTTACTGAACTGTCACCACCTTGAACCATCCCTACCTATATATGTCACTTATTTCTAAAATCTGTGATCAAATTGGAGTTAGAAAGAAACTGCAGATGAAACTTACAAACTATTTCCTTGGAAAGAATTCTTTGGGTCTTTCAGAAGAGAGCTGAACATTTCAGGAAGGGTTCAACAATGACTACTATCCCACCACATGAGCTTCATTAACTGTAATTACTTAAAATGTAAAATCTTATTTTTTTAAAGCTAGAGTTCTATTGCTTTACAGGCTGTAAAGGTGAAGACTATGCACACTCAAGCAAGCAAAGCAGAAATGAAAAGCAACTCAGCAATTTTGCTAATATAAAGGCAAGAATAAAGTCTCCATTGTATTTTTCCGTTCTCTAGAAAATAGTTCTCCATGAAAAAAAGTATCTAAGAAGCCAAAATAGCTAAGAAAGCAATTATAGTATTTACATTACCATATGAAAGGAACAAATACCATTCTGTGCACCCTGTGTTTTCACTAGTCCTCAACTTGGCCATGGTAGAGCCAGTAATTTAATGAAAACTACTGAGGAATAAGCTCCTTAAAAATCTCTCCAAAAACTCTTTAGACCCATCCTGCAAACACCTCTTCACTTTACATTATTCTTTTAGTGCTACCGAATTCAGTGAGACTACTAGCTCACAGGTATCTGCAGGACAAACATCATTGTGATTTTACGCAAATCAGAAGCTACTTCACTGAATTCAATGAGATTGCACTAATATAAGCAGGATTAGAGTAAGATCCATCATGAAACAACAAAATTTACCTAGTGTACTTCACTTATTGTCCTCTATTATTAGAAGCATCTCACCTCTCACATGGAACAATTTCTTTCAATTACAAAAATAGGATTGTCATTAAGAAAATTGTTTAGGTTATTTATAGGAAACAGCAGCAATGACAAATCAAGCAATACCCATAGATGAGCCAGGCAGAACTGATGAGCTTAATTAGCTTATATTCTGTTTATGAAATATTTGTAAACATACCAAAAGTCTACATCTTCCAAAGCATAATTCTAATGCAAAAAAAGTTACAGTAGGAAGTACTGCACACTAGGAACTCCTCCAAAATCAGACTTCATAATCATGATTTTTAAAATACAGCAACAGACTTCTATAAACAGTGCTGCATATTATATGGGTTTAGTATTTGGTCCCGGTTTTCTTCATACTTCTCTACCATTTTCTGCATGTCATGGTCAGCTCCAATAACCTTGGAAGCAAGAATGCAAGCATTAGAAATAAAGACCCTGTAAAACACGATTCATCTCAAGCAAAAAAGACTACGACTGAAGCTAAACTGAAATCCTTCTAGAAGTCCTGTTTTTTTTTTTGCTCTTCAGTTTAGCATTCACAGAAAAGCTACAGGTGGGATCCTACACATACCCACAGTGAACAGCCTGTTAATTCCACCTAGCAGAAAGACAGTACTTCAATGATATACAGTACAGATATTATAAACTTAAAGATTTTCCTTTTCAAAATGTTACTATAAAAGCAGATTTATTTACTTTCACCACTACATAACACTTTAAATATTCTGAGAGTATAAACTTCATCCTTAAATGGTTATAACTAAAGTTATACTCACAAGAACAGGACAAGAAACTTTAAAACGTGTCTGTTTAATCAACCATTCTTCATAGAGCTGATGAATAGCTTCTAAATATTCCTAGAAAATAAATATTCAAATAATATATACTTACAGGAACAACCTTTGCAATTCCAGTATATTCTTTAGGGAATAGACATAAAAGATAGTGCTGGATATCTCTCTTGACAAATCAAGAAAGAATCAGAAGGTTTCTGACAAAAAGTAATTCTCCATATAAAGTTTTACTCCATTAAAAAAACTCAACAGCTCTGAGCACATCGTAAGATCAAGAACCACAATTCTCTCCTATAGATGTAATTGGGTTTAAGATTTTACAGGGCAAAGAGAGATGCAGAAACACAAAAGGCAAAACTACAATGAATATCTACAAGGCATTTCCTGTGTCAATGCACTTTCCTAAAGTTCACAGTTCATTGCCTCCTAATTCAATTCATCTTCTCTAAAAGCATTTCTGCCTGTCATCAATTAGATTTTTCATAGAGACCGCTTAATATTTTTGATTTATAACTAGCTGCCCCTTCCCTAAGGGGTGCTGCAAAGTAAGAGAGTACCTCTTTAGAGCCTCTATAGCTAGTACTTATTCTGCAAGGGAAAATTTCACATGACCCAGAATTCAGCCCTATCTCCTCATAAATGTTCAACTAAGAGTTGTTACTACTGAATTACACAATAGTAGACACCCTAATAATGCACAGCACATCTTTTGTATCTACATTTGTTTCTGGTAAGGCTTTCTTTGGAAGACTTGTTTAAATGCAAGGCTTTTCTACAAACTGTGACAAGGAAACCAATCATTCCATTTGTATAGTTTGTATTTTAAGCATCCTAATGATTTTCAAGATGCTTGTTTTTAGATACAACAAAAATATTTTTCATGCACAAACATCCTGATAATAGTAGATTATAGGAAACAGCCACATAAGTCTTCACCATCTGCACACACAGGTATTCGTGCTTTACCTGGGTATATCTATGCTGGTTCATGATAAAAAAGCAACTGGCTTTTTACATCTTAAAGAATTGTAACATTTGATTATTTTTTCACTTGGTGAGTGATGTCAGACTGATCTACTGAAACATGACACTTGGGAAGTTAGTACATATAATACATCACTTTTAGAAAATAGTTCAAATTTAATTCCAAAGTTTTAGTTTGTAATGGAAATAGCTGCACTACATTTTGGCACTACACTCAGGATAGAGTTTTAATATTTAAACATATAATCACTGTTTTTAAGTTATGGTAATTCAAATTCATTGTAACCACAAGTGTTGAAGGAACTTCTTACCAAGGGAATGATCTTTTCCTCTTCTCTGCATCTTCTCTTTAATCTCTCATAACAAACTTCAGGAGAAGTCTGCAGATAGACTGCCATAACAAAAAAACAATATTTCTGTTTAAGGATCATCTTTGAAAGGTCAAAAAAAAAAAAAACAATATTTCTGTTTAAAGATCATCTTTGAAAGGAAAGAAACCTACTTCAAATAGTAGAGATGGAAAGAATACTGATGTAGGTCACCACTGAAGTCCACTTAAGCATCACTGCGAATCAATTCATGAACCACCCATGAACTAATGTTTGCTGATGCCACACATCACAAGCATTATCACATTGCATAAACAATGACCCAAGAAACTTTTTCCTCCCAGCAAAGCAAAGAAGCTTGCCCAAAAATGCCCCTCAAGATCCCATCATAACTTTACCTATCAAATCAACCGACACATCCGTATTGTTCTTGATCCAATCAAACCACTCAGTCAGGACAACATAATCCACTTCTGGCATTTTTCCACTGGACAAACATAACAAAAGTTATATTCATTGAGCAGTATGCAGAGATCAATACACATACAAGTTTTTTTTCCATCTAACCAAAATCATTCCCAATATATTTGAGCATACATGAAATAAAACAGACCAATATTGCCAGCCACATTAAACATGTCATAAAGCATTGTTCATAAGAAAGAAGTTTAAAATATTTTTTAAATAAAATACTGACTAGTACAATGCTTCTATCATTAAAAGTTGCAATTATTAATGATCTCCCTACTACACTCAAGAAATAACTACTTTGTGACTACAAAAAAGATCGTATTGACATTTATACAGTAAAAATAAATTAGTATCAATGACATTTACTACTAATATTCTTTACATCAGGATCCCTGCAAATATCTGAACCACTCTGCTGTATACTACCATTAAGGTTTCATTTACCAAGCAGCACTGAAAGGTCATTAGGGAAACTGAAAGACCAAGCAATGGAAAAAAATGACACAACATAAATAATGTTTACTCTAACTGAAAAATGTTTATAAGAGTCATGAAATATTCAAGATGCTCAATTTAACCTCAGTATTCAGAGAGTACAGACAATACTGGGGATAACCATCCCAAAGTTATCTCAGTAAGAATATAAAGAACTCTCATGTAAAAGGGACTCTACATATGATATATTAAGAATTAAAGACTATGTTTTTATTAGCAGTATAGCAATCTGAAAACTCCTCCAATACTAAATATCTGCATATTAGTAGTTTTAGATTTTGTCTTCACATTATAACATACTTCTTCCTAAATGGGGCATGCTTTCTCTGCAGTAGAAATGCAAAAAGATAGGGTTGATAGACTCCTGCCATCTCTATCAGATGGATTAGAACCAGTTGCAATACTTTAAATAACACTGAAAGACAACTCCAAAGATTTCCTCATTTACTTGGCACCAAAGGAGACAGGATATGGGAGAGATGGAGTTACTGATTTTTAATCTGATGCAAAATGCCTAATTTCCATAGCCAGTATTTTTCTTTTTTCAAAATCTGTATCTTTTCCAGACCCTTATATCACAATTTGGTTTGCTATTGGGAATTTATCTACTGGCTTCTAGCTTATTTTAACAAAAAAACAAAGCAAACGCTGGCTGTCCAACATTAGAAAAAAATGCAGAAATGGCCTAACATCTTACTTGCCTCTAATATTATTACAAAGTTAATACAGAGAGTCTGATATGTGCAGACTTAACCTGCTAGTAAAAAAGCTAACAGTCTGTGGGACAAAAGCACTTTGTCTACAATGAAAAGCAAATCAGAAATTAAAAACATGAAAAAAATGCAGTTATATTTTCACTCTATACAGGCTGTGATAAGCAGTGTCTCTTCCTGATAGTCTAGCATCTTACTGTGCCTTTTCACAAGCATTTGAAGCAATTTCTGCAACAGACTGAGTGCTTACATAGCACAGATGCCACCATGTGGCATGCAGCCATTCTCCCCATGGAAAAAAAGAAGCTTTTTTTGCCTTTGAAGGCCCCTGAAAAAAACCCTTAAGCCATGACATACAGCTTTCCATGTAAAGCCAACATTATAAACAAACGAGAGATCAGTGCTGATAAATGCTTTATTTCAGCATTGCAGCTAGTTCAGACTGACAGGTTCTATACAGGCCAGGTAGTAAATGCTTTCTTTCCAGCTCAGGCTGCAATCTCATCCCTCCAAGAACAAAATAAGCTGGGCCTGCTTGTTCTAAAACGGGCCCAACACAAACCATGCGTAAGCTCTGGTCTGGTGCATGGGACATGAAGAAAAAGGAAACATGACTAACACTGAAAATGACACTTACAGGAAAACAGTTCTTGCTTTTCCTTTACTCACTAGCACAGCAAGGAGTTCTTTTTTCACCTAAATCTGAGCAACAGAACAAGATTTGAATGCTCATTGCTTGGGTTCCTATCTACAAGCGATAGCAAGCCTGGATGCTAAGTTGGATAATGAACACTGCCTGCCTAGCTCCCCCAGCGTTACTCACTCCATTGCCACGTTTTTGATGTATTCAGTATTTGCTTGCTTTGATTCAAGTAAGACTTCCGTATTCAGCTGCAGAGCAGATAACTTCCATGAAAGGAGGTTTAAATACACAGTGTACTTCTGAAGAACACTAAAGTCGGGGCCACATACTGCAGTTCTTATTCTAGTAGGTTTCTTTAGAGATAATGTCAACACTGCCTATGCACAATGCACTGCTACTTCACTATGGAACTGACAGATTGCACAAGCTAAAAGGCTCATGGGCTATTACAAAACAAGAGAAGCCTAATTAAGCCAAGTAAGTAAGGTAGAAAGCCATATAAATACCTTTGATATAAGTTTTCTACAAAAATGTATTTTGCACTGTGAATTGATCTCTCCATCATTCTTACAGAGGAAATCTACAAAATAAAATTATAGTCACTGACCAGTTTACATTTCCCAGCACACTCGCTTCTTTTCAAGTTTATATTGCAGAGCATGTCTTTTCCATTATAGAATACATACACTTGCAATTCTTCCAGCTCTTGTGATTATAAAAGATCACTTTTGGGGGGGAAAACATGAAAAACAAATTTTATTATCATTTATGGTCACTGCGTTATTAAGCACCCACATAACTAAACTGTTATTCATAAGCAAGTTTCAGAAGTAACTGCAGAAGCATTTGATCCAGCAGCTGAAGGTGTTAACTACGGGAGGAAGTAAAAGCTCTGCACAGGTATGACGCAGATATTCCATGTCTCCATGAGCATGTGTTGAGCAGATCAACATTGTCTTTGGACTACACATTCATGCTCACTACAGAAGCAAAGAATTCAAGTAAACACTTACCTTTATTTTTGGATACAAAGCTAAAGAAAATATTTATTACCCACAGCTACACCTTACTATCTCAAGCATTTTCAATATAAGAAAAAATAGTTAGTTACCATTGGTCTGGTGTGCTGTTCCAACATGGTAAGCTGTATGTATGTCTGTAATGTTATCCCCCATCTTGATGCATCTTGGTACATTAAGCCCTGGGGTTAGGGATAGAAAGCAAAGGCAGCCCGTTTTTTTTATTAGGTTGAACAGAGGAGAAAAGTTGTTTATTTCATAAGCTCTTGCACTACAACAGAATTGCTAGAAGTAGCAGAATTACTAAAGATGCTGCTATCAGAATTGACAAGAATTAAATCATTTGCTTTTCTCAAAACACATGTGAGAATTAACAGTCCCAGTCTTTATCAATGTAGGGTATTGGAGATGCTCACTATATGCACTTCAGAATCAGAGTTACTTTGTACTTCTGTGTAAAATCACACACAAGTATTGTCTGACACAGTTTAAAGACACAGAGTAATTAAAAGATATATCTGCTATATATTTTTGTGCACTCAGACTCTCAGTATAATCCAGTAGCTTGTCTGAACTCCTCTCTACATCCCCTTTCATGCAACCAAACCCCAGTGCCTTGATCAAGTTCCCTGATTTTGCAAATAGGTATTCTGTGAATGCACTGGCCATCACCACCAAATTACTCAAAGATCAAGACTTGCTGAAACCACATTTTACATGCAATGTGGGCCTAATGCATACCCAAAAAAACAGAAGAAACTCTGCATTGTGAGCTGTATTTTTAGCTCTACCAGACTACAACCACACCTTTCCTATCAGCTTCATTGACTGGTCTGAACTCATGCATGCCTTTTTCAAAGAGCAATGATTAGAGAATTTATTTCTGCCACGTACCAGAATATTATGACCACGAACATTTCTCCATTTAGCCACTGGTTCTGTCAAAACCTTTTACATGTACAAAGGGAGAGAGATAAACTAGTATGAAAAAAACACCTACACATGTGAAAAATGTGTTCTATATTAAACATGCTTTAGATTTGAAATCCTCAGCTATGTAAGTATAGGGTTATTTGACTTTGATGACTTTATATTACTTTGATTATTACAACATATATCTAAGATTACTTTTGTTACCTAAGAAAGCAAACAAGTGTATTTTGGGTTGCTACTAATTTACAGAGGAATAAACTCTAACCTACAGATTAACTCACCTCTTAACAATGTAAATGAGCATAAAGCAAATGAAAATCAGTACCTCAATGCTGGTAGTTTCTGCAAAATAATCCAGGCATGTTGTTTTTCCACTCGCAATATTCCCCTCGATACATATCTGATGAAAAACAGTATCATCTTTGAAAACTAGATATGCTAGTGCAAATAAATGAATGGTGTATGTAAACACACGCTTTTTTCATACATTCTTTTCCCTGATAAAGTACATGATTTCCTTATAGCATCAATGGACTATTTCATAGGAAGCCTCAGGGGAACAATCCCCAGGATTCCTCTGACACCGTGTCCCAGCTGTGTCCTTCCCAAGCCAGGGGCAGCAGCACCCTGAGGTCCCCCCATGTCCCACCTCCTGCCCCTGCCAGGGGGTCACCCACCACCACTGCTTGCCACCCTGCAGCCCAGCACTACAGCTTTCGACTGCTACTAAGGGCCAACTGCAGGAATCTTTTCAACAGCCATCAAATACACTTCTTGAATGACAAGATTCATTAAATAGCTTATTTTAACTGGATAGGTTTCTAAAATGAAGAAAGGAAATTTTGTACAGCTGTCCTACAATTTACAGCTTAAAACAATTAGATTCCAATTACAGCAATTTGGGCACTAAAATCTACAAAGGAAAAAACATGAGTTGTAAAAGGATGACTAATATTCTACACATACAAAACTTGACCCAGTACTGCAACTTCGCATTGCACCAATATCATACATCCTACCAGCCCCTCCTCGTTCTACTGTAAGTTACCGAACTAGATTTTTGCAATGAGTAAGAGACTCAGTAACAGACCCACCCCCTAGACAGCCCTCAGTAAAACAGCATATCCAGGTGCAGATAGACTCATAAAAAGAGGTTGCATATTTTACATAGCTTTCTGAGCAAAAAGCAAATACTTATTACCTTCTTTTTATTTTCCCCTTTTATCAGTTGTTTATCTAGAATTAAAATAAACAAGGTTATAAGCAAAAAAAGAGATCTTCACAACTCAATCATACTATTTCTCTTAACTACAAGCTTTTTAGGTTCTCCATGGTAATTCAGAAAACCTGACATGGGCAATCAAGCCCCACATGGTCCATAGGGCTGTGGAGAGCTGAGCAGCTGGTGCCTGCAGCGGCACAGCAGGTTGGACACACACTCCTGGCTCCTCACTTCGCTGTCGCTACTGGGGAGCTGGTTCTGGTGTTTAAGCCAGGCAGTCAGGGCCCTGCCCGCCACCCCCAAGGGTTTAACTATGAAGCCTTCCCTACGGAAGACATTCTAAGGCACTACCAAGACAAGCAACTTCGACGCTTGCCTTAAGGCTCAAAATCACACGCGCAAAGGCTCTTTGCCCTAGCCTGGCTCCTCACTTCGCTGTCGCTACTGGGGAGCTGGTTCTGGTGTTTAAGCCAGGCAGTCAGGGCCCTGCCCGCCACCCCCAAGGGTTTAACTATGAAGCCTTCCCTACGGAAGACATTCTAAGGCACTACCAAGACAAGCAACTTCGACGCTTGCCTTAAGGCTCAAAATCACACGCGCAAAGGCTCTTTGCCCTAGAATTACAAAGGCAAACTGGGCACTCCAGCTGCAGCCATAATGAACAATTAATA